TATATATATATATATAAACAAAGACTTTAAAATGGAAAACTGAATTACCAGTAATATAGCAAATAAAGAACTAAAATTTAAATTTTTCATTAACATTTGTTATTAAAAGTATGCATACAATCTGCTCATTGAGTTCAGTACAAGCAGAATTGTATGAAAATTTAAGAATAAGAACAATAAATTAATGTTTGTCTAAAGTTTAGTTACAGTGGATAATTTTTCTTTTTTTTAATTAAGTGGATAATTAGGCTTCTTGCAAACCTGAGTGACGTCACAGTTAGCGTGAAGCTAATGGCTTCTCCAACATCCGAGCCGAAGCTTCAGTAATTCTTAACGCTGCCAGTCCCCGGTAAATTAACACTTACAGAAAATTAGATTGTAGCGTGTTAAGCGGGTCTATTTTTACCGAAATATCTGGCGCACAGAGTTTGAGCAAACTGTGCAAATGCGCCGAGACTTTGGTTTGCAACACCTGCTAGCTGAAGCTAGGCTGGTTTAGCTAACCGAGAAGCTAAGCTAACACCGTTAGCAGCTCAGCCGGGGATGAAGAAGGAAGGAGGGATTTATCACTGGGTGTGCTGAGTTATGGAACAGGTAACTTCGCTTTGAACTAAAAAAAAAAAAGCTACTAGCTCAAGTATTTGGCAGTGAAGTAAACTAATGTTCGAGTCAAGTTACCTCCAACTTTAAATTGAGTTTGTAACTTGGAAAAACGACAGGTGCCTGAACTTATCACAGGAGGACTGGGAGAACAGAAACATGGCCAGTAATGCCATGCCAGGCTTCACCTGCCAGGCTAATGGAGAGGACAACCCGAGGCAGGTGAGCGTGTCTGGCTGTTCACGTCGGAACCAGTCGGAGTCGGAACTGGACGGTGCCCCGACGGCGAAGAGCTTAGCTCGGCTGTGCAGCTGGGACATAGAGGAGCGGGCCACGGCTCTGGAGGAGCTGAGCCAGAAGGTTCTGGTGTGTTTGGGATTGGACCGGCCCGGTTCGGCACGGCTGAGCAAACAAATGCTTCTGCATCTGCTTCGACTGTCGCGTTCGTGCCCGCTGCAGGAGGTTCGTGAGAGAGCAGGCGAGCTGCTGCGGACCGCACAGGTAATGTTCGGGTTTTTTCTTCTGCTCCATTTTCTATAAATAATCTGATGATCCGTCAACAAGAACGGGGAGTTTATCTGTGTGAGTTTGACCTTCCTGTGGTGAAATTCCCAGAAGAGGCGAGTGATTAATGKAAACCATAATAAACTTGCTGAGCATGAGTTATCATCTGCTGCAGGCTTGTTTTGATTACCACTAACCTGCTGGTGTTTCATCAGACACTGAAGTGGAACGACACTGAAGTCAGCCTGTGATTCGGCAGGTTGTTAAAGGGCCACTCCACTAAACAATTAAGATCAATTCTAGTTAAGAACATACAATTATTTTATTGTTAAAGTCACAGTTTGTGATTCGCGAAACTCTTGAAAGTACAAAGAAAAAAAGTGCTCTTTTGYRTCTTAACCACAGTTAAAAAAACAACACTTTGCTCAGTACTAGACTTAATGTAGGGATGTGGATAAATGTTTAATCCTRCAYCRATATTAAATCTGACAGCGGATTCCAAAAGAACATCTCAAACCATACAAAATAACACCAAAATCATGTGATTATCTGAAGTATRAGGGAASTTATTGATTGTTTAGGTGAAATCAGCTCATGTTTTCTTGCTGCAGTTCACAGCAGAACCAATGTAACCATTTCACCTGCTRTTTTCTAATTTTTCCCATAACTTCCTCAGTGTTCAAGATATCGCCATGAAATTTTAGGAAAAGATTCCCATTCTGGTTTTGTAGGAAGCATCTTGTATCCTAAAAAAACTAATAAAGCTTAATAATAGCCAATTCAAAAGTAGCAGAAAAGGTTAGGGATGCACCGATCCACTTTTTTTTAAACTTCCGATACCGATTCCGATATTTGAGGTTTAGTATCAGCCGATACAGATCCGATCCCATACTGAAAAACAGCATTAATTGAAACATTTYTTTCCTATTTAAAAATAAAAAAGAGACATAAATGAACTACTGAATTGCACATTTATTTTATAACTATGCAYCAGCACCACAGCAATCTTAAATAAACCAACTGTTCACAAGCTTAGTGGAACAATCACTGCGCATGTATTGCACGTAGCCGTCAGATGTGTTGGGTGAGGTAAAGTAAAAAAGCTCCAGATGGCTGATCCTTTCGTTGGCTCCATTTTGAAAACTGCACGTGCCACTGCACTGCGTGTCGCTGGCGCATGACGTCACGCCACTCGCGGACCTTAGCATAGAAATAAAC